CTTTTAAACCCCAAAGTACATTAAAGACTGGTTCATCCCAAAGATCCAGTCCCCCGGCACAAACAGAGTAATGTTGTGTATGCTGTTCAGTGTCAGGAGGGCTGTGATCAGTCTTACATCGGGGAAACTAAACAGCCACTGGCCAAAAGGATGGCCCAACACAGAAGATCAACATCATCAGGCCAGGACTCTGCGGTCTACACTCATCTCCAGGCCAGCGGTCACTCTTTCAAGGATGAAGATGTTCACATCCTGGACAGAGAGGAACGATGGTTTTTTAGAGAGGAGTAAAGGAGGCCAAGAAACTGTCCATCATTAAACCGGGGTGGAGGCCTCCGGGTTCAACTGTCCCCCTCTTACACTCCTGTTATTGCTCACTCAGCCCTCTGTGAATAGTAAACAGCCATCAGGGTGCTAATGATCCATTGTTAGGCTGATGGTCCTTCTTGAGCATGCGATCAGCTGGTTTTGGTTGTCAGCAGCAAAACTGGTTGATCCACTCTGAGAAGGTGCTATTTAAGAGACTGAGCTGAAAACAGCACCTCAGACTGAGGAAGTCTTTCGGATGAAAGACGAAACGTTTCTAGATTTTTTTTTTGTTAGTTTTTTTGAATGTCCAGAGGACCAGATTTAACTTTTTTAGATTATTCTCCCAGGCTTTTATCTCATGATTTTATTGTGCTTTTTATGCTTGTTTTATTCTTTTTAACTTTTAGCATTGATTATTATTGTACAGCGCTTTATGATTTCATGTCAGTGATAAACGCTCTATAAATAAACTTTACTGACTTACTATTCATTAGACCGGACTGTTTTCCACAAGACTCAACCTCGACCCGCGGGAGGGAGACACCCCCCCCCCCCCCACCACCACCACCACCTCACACACACAATAAATTAAATATTACTCAACATATATCCTTTTTTCACAGAAAATGTAACAGATTTTGTCAAAATATGTGTGGTTAATTATTCAGGAAAATAATGTCTGCCCCACTGATTTGTTTATAAAAAGGTTAAAATCCAGGGTTACGTGCTGTTCCATTGGCTTTTATCGTTTGTTATAATGGTGGCATCGAGCCGATATTTTCTGAGATGACACTCATTTAAATAGTAAATGGACTGTACCTATACAGTACCTTTCTATCTTACCAAGATGCTCAAAGCTCTTTACAACACAATCTGCCCTCGTTTACCCATTTATACAGCACTCTTACTAGATCTGTACAAAGAATAATCAGAGCTTTATCATATTCGTACACTGATGGGACACACATTGGAGGCAATGAGGGGTTCAGTGTCTTGCCCAGGGACACTTCAGCATGTGACTGCTGGTGGAAACGAACCCCCAACTCTTACATCAGAATCAGTTTATTATTGCCATGTCAATGAACGAGGTTCGCAAACTAGGAATTTGCTTCGACATAAGGTGCGAATAGTAATAAAGTAAAATAAAGTAAAAATAAAGTAAAAATGAGAACATTACATAAGACATAAGACCTGTGTACACCCACAAATAAAGTAAAATTAAAAACATAACATAAACATGTGTACACCCATACAATAGAAAACAATAAAAATGCTTAGAAAACAGTACAGATGGAGTATTCAGTTATAATACAGATGTAATGTGACCAAAGCAGAAATTATGAGGTAGCATTATGAGTGTTCAGGAGTCCAACAGCAGAGGGGAAGAAACTGTTCTTATGGCGGGAGGTTCTGGTCCGAATGGACCGAAGCCTCCTGCCTGAAGGGAGTGGTTCAAACAGTCCGTGTGCAGGGTGAGCAGGGTCAGCTGTGATCCGACCTGCTCGCCTCACAGTCCTGGAGACGTACAGGTCGTGGAGGGATGGAAGGCTGCAGCTGATCACCTTCTCAGCTGAGCGCACAACACGCTGCAGTCTGAGTCTGTCCCTGGCAGTGGCCCCGGCGTACCACACCGTGATGGAGGAGCTGAGGATGGACTTGATGATGGCCGTGTAGAACTGCACCATCAGCTTGGCCGGCAGCTTGGCCTTCTTCAGCTGTCGCAGGAAGTACAGTCTCTGCTGGGCCTTCTTGATGAGGGAGCTGATGGTCGGCTCCCACTTGAGGTCCTGGGTGATGGTGGTGCCGAGGAACCGATAAGAGTTTGCAGTGGTGATGGGGGTATCATTACAGGTGAGGGGGGGCAGAGGGGCTGTGGCTTTCCTGAAATCCACAATCATCTCCACTGTCTTCTGGGCATTGAGTTCCAGGTTGTTGCTGCTGCACCAGGTCACCAGCCGGTCCACCTTCCTCCTGTATGCAGACTCATCACCGTCCGAGATTAGCCCGATGAGGGTGGTGTCATCTGCAAACTTAATAAGTTTCACAGAGTCATGGCTGGAGGTGCAGCAGTTGGTGTACAGGGAGAAAAGCAGGGGGGAAAGCACACAGCCCTGTGGAGATCCTGTGCTTACAGTCCGAGTGTCCGAGACAGCTCTCCCCAGCCGCAAGCACTGACTCAGGTCTGTCAGGAAGTCTGTGATCCACCTGCAGGTGGAGTCAGGTACATGGAGCAGGGATAGCTTGTCTTGGAGCAGAGCAGGGAGGATGGTGTTAAATGCGGAGCTGAAGTCCACGAACAGGATCCTGGCGTAGGTTCCTGGGGAGTCCAGGTGCTGCAGGATGAAGTGAAGAGCCAGGTTTATTGTGTCATCTACAGACCTGTTGGCCCTGTAGGCAAACATTGTACATTGGAGGACGACTGCTCTAACCACTCAGGCACAGCTCAAAAATATTTGAGATGGACTTCTCTTATCAACACTTATTACTAACATGTAACCTTGATTAATATGTTGCTTTTTATTCTTGAGTTAAAGACTGAGCCTCTTAATCAAACTGGGGAAACATGGCTTTTCATGTCATAATTGGTTAATAAATAAATTTTGTTGCTAAGTAATTTTTTCTCCTTTCTGTTTCATCTTTGTCTACCTTCCATTTTTGACTTCTTGCCATGTGTGACCCCTCCTGACAGGACTTTAACCTACTTATACTTGTTGGCCTTCAATGCCTGGCTGCTGCTGGCTCCCATCATGCTTTGTTATGACTGGCAGGGGGGCAGCATTTCCTTGGTGGAGTCTGTGGGTGATGTGCGAAACATTGCTACTGTGCTGCTGGCTGTGGTGATGGTTGCTCTCAGCATGCACTGCATCTTCTCACTGCAGGTAAGAGGCAGAATTTTACTCTTTTTTTCCCCTCAAAATAATCACAGTTCCTGCCTGGACGTCGCCAACTCTTTTGAAAATGCCAGAGCTGTGTTGTGTCACCTGCACAGGTGCACATGTCCAGGTCTAAAAACTAGGGATTGGGCAGATCCGATCCAGTATCGGTATCGGCCTCTGATACCAGCATAATTTACGTATCGGATTTTCCGATCCACCTGCCGATATTTCCGATCATTTCTGATGCACGTTGGCTTGAAACTATGGAATGGATTTCCTGAACGGCGGCGTGTCTCATAAGCCCAGAGTAATAAGACCTGCCTCACATTCAGGAAATCCAGTTCATAGTTTGCAGCAGCTACAACGTGAGGACTGAGTTAGCAGCACTGTGGCTAACAGCTAACAAACTTTTCATCTAAACATGTCGCTGTGTGGAAGTATTTTACACTAGAAACACCACAAAACAAGACAGCAACGTGCAATGTCTGCAGAGCCACAGCGCCACATTAAACCGCAGTAAAGTTAGTTTTACATTGGACATTCGAGCTCCGTGGCTTCAGCGGGGCACTTCTCTTTTTGCTCAACCCGGAGCGGCCAACTCGACCCCGGCCAGCTGCGTCCAATCTGCCCCGCTCAGTCTGCCCGTCTCCGAGGAGGGACAGACTGAGCGGGGCTGCCCCAAATCAGGCTGCCTGCTTCAGATTGAACAAGAAGAAGACATGGCTGAAACCACGGAGCTCAAATGTTTACAGAGAAGTTGCAGAAAATGTTTACAGAGAAGTCATCATAATTAATGATCAACCACTATCAGTTGTAGAAAATGAAGGATTTCACAGCTTGATACTTGCAGCCAAGATATAGTTTACCCTCCAGGAGATATTTATCAGTACAAAGTAGACAATCATAAAAAACATGATTTGAAAATTATATATATTAAAAACATAAACAGCTACATTATAAAGTGATGTAAAATACTAAAAACAGGAACATGTCTGTTGGTTTATGCCATGAACTTAGCAGATGTTTGAAGCCATTTAACATTTAATTTAATTCATTTATTCATTCATTTAAATGAAACAAATTTTAAAAAAATCATCAAAAAGAAAACATTGAATGAAAAGAGTGTAGAAAGAAGAAAAAATTCTTATATCTGCCCCTTATAAAATATAAAACAACTTTAAACAATCACTTTAATTAATCACTTTAATATCCACTTTAAAGCTAGAATAAAAAGAAACATGTTTTGTGTTAGCAGAATTTAATTCTAACTTTAAAACTTATCCAACATTAATAAAACTTACCTCAAGTTGCCTTTTTGGACATGCATGCATATATTTGTACAAATTGTACTTGAGAGGAGATTTTCACAGCCTCATATAAAATCAATGATGATCATGATATCGGAACTGGATCGGTATCGGCCAATACTCCGTTGTAAGTATTGGGATCGGATCGGAATTTTAAAAAGTGGATCGGTGCATCCCTACTAAAAACCATGCTGATGATGATATACAATAACATTTTAAAGAACAAGTCCAAATCAGTATCCTGATGCATGCTCAATAATCCATGTAGAAAAATCCAAAAAAGTTAAATCTGGTCCTGTGGACATAAAAAAAAAAAAAAAGCAAAAAAATGTAGAAACGTTTCGTCTCTCATCCAAAAGACTTCCTCAGTCTGAGGTGCTGTATTCAGCTCAGTCTCAGAAAGACTATCATGAGAAAGTTATGACACTCCTTAGTGACTTAACCACTTATGAACCTCTGAAAAGAGATCCAGGAAGTGGTTACAAGAAGAAGTTAATAGATTGCCTGAAAAATTTGGAGCAGGACAAGGCTATTGACCGTATTCTGTACCACAGACTGTACCCAGGGGAGGCCACACCTAGTCTGTATGGTTTACCTAAAATCCACAAACAAGGTGTACCTTTAAGACCAATTGTTAGCATGATTAACTCTGTCACTTACAATGTTTCCAAATATCTGGCGTCTGTACTCATCCCTTTAGTTGGCAGCTCAGAACACCACATACAGAACACCATGGACTTTGTGGATAAGGTGAGGGATGTCATCATGGAGACTGATGAAACAATGGTCTCTTTTTATTAGGTATTTTCTATTTAACCTTTAAAGATAATAATTTCACACAACGCGGCGAGGAGAGTTTTTAGCGCCCAACACCTTTGCAAAGCGAGAGTCACTGCATTTAGGGTGAACTCTGTCGTTTTGCTGGGTGAGTCTGGTATTTATTGTGAAAAGTGGGGCAGGAAAACAACAGGTCAAGTTTACATGAACAAAAATCTTATCAGGATGACGGTCAGAACAGAAAAGAAGATTTAGCTTGTACAGATGGTTTCTTGATAAAACGTTCACTTGATGTAAAAGTAGAACTTTCCAGAACTTACACACAGCAATGATATAAAGCTGAACCAAAATAAACCTTTTGTTCTGTACATACAAAACAGATATTAATATGAGATAGAAATGTTTTAAAATAATAACAGAAAAACTCAACACTTTTGATGTCACATCACTCTTTACGTGCATTCCTGTTGATGATGCAGTAGAGGTGGTCAGTTTAAAATTAAAATCAGACACCACTCTGAGCAGCAGGACCACACTTTCCACAGAACAACTGTGTCAACTCTTGAAACTGTGCCTGCAGTCAACCTACTTCACATATGGGGAGCAATATTATAGGCAGAAACATGGGTGTGCTATGGGGTCTCCAGTTTCTCCTATTGTTGCCAACCTGTACATGGAGGAGGGAGAAAAGAGAGCCTTGACGTCCTTTTCAGGGACACCACCAAGTCATTGGTTCAGGTATGTTGACGACACCTGGGTTAAAATCAAATCTGTGCTGAAATACAGTTTAAAGTACACTTTAAAATGGAAAAAGCTGATTTGGACTTCCAAAAAAGTTCAATCTGGTCCTCTGGACATTCCAAAAAAACAAAAAACAAAACAAAGCAAAAAAAATGTAGAAACGTTTCGTCTCTCATCCGAAAGACTTCCTAAGTCTGAGGTTCTGTTTTCAGCTCAGTCTCTTAAATAGCACCTTCTTAGAGTGGATCAACCAGTTTGCTGCTGACAACCAAAACCAGCCGATCACATGCTCAAGAAGGACCATCAGCCTAACAATGGGTCATTAGCACACTGATGGCTGTTTACTACTCACAGAGGGCTGAGTGATACTAGCAATCACAGCATTGTAAGAGGGGGACAGTTGAACCCGGAGGCCTCCACCCCTGTTTAATGATGGACGATTTCTTTTCACAAAGATGTCCTCCTTTACTCCTCTCTCAAACCATCGTTCCTCTCTGTCCAGGATGTGAACATCTTCATCCCTGAAAGAGTGACCGCTGGCCTGGAGATGAGTGTAGACCGCAGAATCCTGGCCTGATGATGTTGATCTTCTGTGCTGGGCCATCCTTTTGGCCAGTGGCTGTTTAGTTTCCCCGAAGTAAGACTGATCACAGCCCTCCTGACACTGAACAGCATACACAACATTACTCTGTTTGTGCCGGGGGACTGGATCTTTGGGATGAACCATTCTTTGCCGTAATGTATTTTGGGGTTTAAAAGCCACTGGGACGTTATGTTTGGAAAATAAACATCTCAGTTTCTCTGATACCCCCTCAACATACGGAATGACCACTGGTCTGGGTCTGGGTTCCTCCTTTTCACCTGATGGCTGACTGGAGTCCTGTTTGGGTTTCTTCTCTGCTTT